CACCACAATGTCCGTGTGGGGGGGATAGCCAGTATAACTCATGTTTAACTACGTTAGGATTATCGTCTGTGAGAGCACACACTGCTACAAAGAACAAACGTTTGTTGGCTCCGCGGATGGACAACCACACTGGCGATTCTGGCTGAATGGCTCAGAGCCAACTGTTAACAGGGATTGAGTCTAGTGGCGCAGCCTAAACACGTGGGTCCAACGCAACCCCAACGCCAGCGTAACCAGCAGTTTCGGTAGCTGAGCCGCCAGATAGGCGCATTTTGAGAGTACCAGCGGAACTCAAAGACGGTGAAACCAAGTGCAGCGTCGTGACGGAGTACTAGTTAACATGTTTGAGCGAGGCGGCAAATGTCAATGCAAGTGATTTCTGGAGCATGAGCAAAGATTGCCTGTGAATCGATCTGCATCAAGGCTGAACAATTGAGGTAGTCGAGTTAGGAACGAATCGTTATGAAGGGCGTGTCAATGCGATTGGAAGGCGTGCACTCAGACCTAAACACCGGATGCGTGCGACGAGAAATCTCCTCAAAGTGGCAGGATGTTGCGCACTCGGAAAAAAGGGTTACCAAAGACGGAGAAAGTGAACAAACCTGGAAGAGATTAAGGAGACGGTGATGCAGTGGCGCGTGGTGTAGCAGCTGCAGATACCAGCAACTCGGCCGAGGTTATCAGTTCCAGAGCAAATAGAGCGAACAGAGGAAGGAGAAACCATTGGTCAATAGGTTGTGGGGGCATGGTAGTTTTTGGTTACCTAGGTCGGAGAAGAGAGTTGGCTAAGAGGATCACTCTCGGAGGTCTTGAGTCATAAAGACCTGGCCCGTAAGGCGGCGGAGTGATAAACGCATATCGCCAATCGTTGGTACTCGGCTATCAAAGCGAGGATAGTACGGATTTTGAGTGAAGACAAACTACTCAAAGTGCCAAAAGAGCCCCGGTAGCAGAGGCCAGAAACTTTTCTGAACGACCAAACTCGCTTCCAAGCCGCTGACATCCATTTGCCCATATCTCCTCATAATATGCAGTCCACGTAAAAGCTGATGGGCACTGAAATAGTTCATCCGTTGTGTACTCAAATCTGGGCAAAGAGGTGAGTGGTCAGAGACATAATAGCCTGTCAAATTGACTTTGACACAGCGTAGTAGTAGGAGCTCATGTGGCAGTTAATGAGGAACCAGATGACGAGATCGGTAGCTCCACGCTCTGATACGTTGCCGTTGATCGTTCGCCATTGACTATTCATATCACCCGCGAAAATTGAGACTTATTCACACAGTTACTTCCACAAGGAAGTCTTTCCCCATCTGAAGACGCGCCTTGTAGCGCAACCAGTCCAAACAAACCAACCAGTGGTCGGTTCTCTTCCGCATATAGATTGCGACGGACAACTATAACAAAGCAAATACCGCGAACCATTGGCTCAGTAGCATAGAAGAGGCCGAGTGTGCAAGCAAAATCATGGGAGTCCGAGGCTAATAAGCGTAGATGCATTAGCTCACCGTTATCTGCAGGTTGGTTTCGGAGATTCGACATACACTAACTGTACAGTAGTGAGAAATCACACCGAATGCAACCCATCAGTTGATTCCATACAATGGGTAGACATTAAAAGATCCGATATGAAATGGTACCAATCGCTGGAAAGATTGCCTATATTTATTGATACTGCGGAGGTCCTCTGGCGAACAAGAGAAAATTCATGAAAAAAGAAGGGAGAAAGAAAAGCAGAAAAGATTAGTAGCGACATCGTTTTGTGAGTGGATGGCATTCTCTGGTCGACTTACCTCTAGTATCTGACTCAACAGCCTTATTCACAAGGCAGCAGGAAGCACGTCCAACTATGGAAGATAGTTGTATAGTAGAATTTGAGGACAATCACACGCAGCACTGACCGTGGCATACTACGCATCTGTGACCAAGGGAAGTTTTGAGTAGAAGTTGGCAGCTACGCATCTTTTTGGCCAGAGTGTGTGTAAACTGAGGCGGGCGGTAACAAACGGTCAAGCAACAGCGGTGCCATCCACAACTAGAGACAATCGGAGGCGCCGATTCTCCAAGCCAACTGAGCTGAGATTATAAGCCTAAATGTTGTTCCCATTGGCTCCGAGTTGAAAGAAGACGACCATCGATTTATAAAGGGTGCGAGGATTGAACCGATCTGGCTCACAACTACAGACAAGCTTGATAATGGGTAGCGCTGGAGGCAGTGAAAAGTACCATCCAGTGTGTCTCAATGATGCTTAGAGATATACAAGTCCTCGCAAGGCAGTAAGGTTCAGTCATGCAGCGATGTTATCTGCAGTGCTACGCATGTGAATGAAAAAATAATTCCGACAAACTACAGGTAAACCACTGCAAGATTTCGGTGTAAGTGCAGGGGGTTTGGCAGGTCCAAGTGCTTTATCTAGCCAACAACCAGGATTCGCAGATTTAGCCAATGATGCGACATATAATCTGGAATTCACAGGCTTTGCGTGATTCGACGGATTTGAGAATAAGTCACCTGTCTTTCGAAAACATGGTTTAACTAAGCGACGCGATCCAAAGTAACGTTGATCTTGTTTAACTCCCTGGTAGCTTCCACATTCCAACGTATTCAGATCAGCCCCCGACCTTATGGTGAAACGCCATCTAAAATCACTGCGGAAGCAATGAAAGCGATCATCTGGTGGGAACAGTTTCACTGTTGCCATCGAACGCGGGTCCGTACATTGAAGGTGCGCCCGTGATTAGTGCGAAACAAACTGAGGCATGTGGCCTCAACAGCTACTAGGTGCTCATTGAGGGTGACTCCAAGCCGAATTAAGCCCATTTACCTGAGTAATCAGTGATACAAGGTGTAATGAGAGTGCTGTGAGTATCCAGACCGGCTCGTCAGTCGGGTACTTACTTGAGGCCAAGAAAGCAGGAGTTGTTACGGTGAGCAACAAATTTGCTGCTGTCCTACATACTGCGTTCGGCTCAAAATCGAGTGCAATGCAGCATTCATTGGTTTTGAACACCCCAGTAGTATCCCAGGTGGCGTAAAACTCACTATGGTTGTGTGGCAGCAATGCGCCGGTACGGAGCACTACTGCAGTGTAATCGGTTCAGTCCCGTTTATCAAATATGATCCGTGCACCGTGGTGTGTGAGATCCAGTTGCAGCGAAACGTCGCCAAACAATAAAATTAGCAATAATAATGAGAATGCAGGAGCAAGCAAAAGATCAACTTGGACTAGTCATTGGCCAGTCATAAGGAAACGAGTGCGATAACTCTACCGGCTTTATCCATCAGCAGTACACTGGCACACTGCACCGATGCTTAGCCGCTACGCAACCACCAACGGTCACACGAGGGCTGAGTAAACCGCGAGGTAGTCCGCACCTAGGCGGATTCGAACTGGCAACCACCCGATTACAAGGCAAGTGCGTAATGCTTTCGGTCACTGGGCAACAGTGTAGTTAACCACTGATGCGACCGTCCGGAAAGACAAGTATCAACTTGACCCAGCCTTCCGGTGCATTCTTGTACACTCATCTGCAATGTCTTTAACTAGCCAATTCGGAATTTCACCCAAAGATGTGCCGTACTGGAATACAAAACATACCAAGGCATACGGTTTTCTAAAATGCAGAACACATGAGTCGGTCACCAAAAGTGACCAGGGTTCAACAGGTACTTCAGTGGTGCGCCAGAGGGACAGGCAGTAGATGTTGAACCTTAGCGTTACTCATCCGCTACTCCGCTAGACATGAGCAACACTGTACAGGCATCGAAGATTAAAAACGGCGAAGTCTCCAATTGTCCACAGCAAACAAACGTGGTAATCATTTCGTCTACGTATTTTTAGTCTAATGGAGGGTCACTTAGCAGTAACGCAACCCGGGAAATGGGAGAAGGCAGGATAGAATTATTCATAATCAATTTGATCGCGAAGTTCAAGAGTGTGGAAGACGTACTGCACCTGTAGTAATGAGTTCATGTAAGGGTTTCCGTCGCTACCATCTGAAGATAATGCACGCAGTGTTACACTTCGAGATATTGCATTGTTTTCATCAGATACGTATTCGATTATCGGTTAAGACGCCACGGCTTTTCTATGCGTAATTCTGATGTAGAATATAAATTCCAAGAAAGAATAATGCCTGCAAGCGCCGATTACTGACTGGTCCAAGGTTTGATAAGTGATTCAGTCTCTCGTTGGATAATCAGAAAAGACATAAGCGAATTGGGTGTGAAAGGAAAGTTAGTAACAATTTTTGGTAGGTGGAAAGTGTGTTGTTTAAGCGCAAAACAGTGAGAGAAAGGAAAATAGTCTCCAAACGGAAGAAATGTCTGAATTTGTTGCCAAATTAAAAGACGGAGGAAGTGTATGTTTTTAAAATAAAGCATTGCGTGAACTACATGTTACATGTGCATCAATGAGCTGGCTGAGTTTATGACGAGTTCAAGACTGAGACGGTTGAGAGAAGCACCCGTCAACAATGAACTGGTTTGATTGATTTCCAAAATTTAGTTAAACAACTCAAACGGAGAGATCGTTCGCAAATAGCAGCATCAAGGATGAAATGAAACCGAGTTTTCCACAAGAGAAGACATTGGGGATGCGTTAACCGATGTGTTTAGGTACAAAACAATCTGATAACTAATTCCAAAGGTTAAATGTTAGAAGAGAAAATGAAGGAGGGGAGACGATGAGTATTGCAGAGTACAACGTGAAACGATTGTAATGAAGAAAATTGACAAATCAGATTGGGAACTGAAGGAGAAAAATCACGATAAGCAGCCTACAAATAACTCATGTGAACGGGTAAGAATATTCGGAACAATATGTACAGGGAGAATGAATGCGGCAAGAGCGGTAGTCGATGTCATACAAAGGGAACTCGAAGAAGTCACTTCCGAGGGTGCACCTCAACACTCCACAAACTATCACAATTTGCACGGATGGAATATGAAGGTGACTCGATAAGATGACCGAAGATAGCGCGATACACGCTAATCTACTCTATTCGCCAAACACTTCAACCAACCGCTCACAGCTATGCAGTTGCAAACGCCCGGCACGTTCTCTGGCAGCGTCATCATTATGATAGATGGCGTGGTCGAGCAGATTTCGTTCTGAAGGGAGAAAGTATAACACAGACCACAGAGTTAAGCTGTCAATGATAAAGGATAACCCCTTAGACATGTGAAGTTGAGCAAGTAATACGGAATAAACACAAGCTGATCGATGAGTACAAGGTAATGATTTGGAGAAACTAGAGGGCGGAAACGATTACAAAACGGACATTTTCGGTAACTGTGTGCGAGCAATAACGGAAAAAGGTAAGAACAATGTAAGCCTTATGTAGAGCATTGAGTGAACACAGCGGGTTCCACAGCTCCAACAACAACAATGCGCATCAAGCCGTCTAAATGAGTTACAACATCAGATGACGAAGGTATCCAAGAGTTATTGTGATGAGCACTTGGTAGGCGGGAAGGGCGAAAAGTGACGAATTGCTGACAAAAAGCCAAAAAGCGAAAAAAGATTTTTTCAGTTTCCAGGGGTCGACTAATTGCACGCAATGGCATGGAATGAACTCGAAGCCAACGGAGATTCCATGTAACTTGGTATACCAGGCAAGTGTAGAGCCGGTACATCGTATGCACCGCATAAGCACTTTGTGCCCACTGCATCCAGTTACATGTCAGCTCCATCAACATCATCATCAATACACGTTGGCCGAGGGTGGGAAATACACCTCTGCTAAAGTGTCGCAATACAAAAAGGGATAGGAGATTAAACGATTCAGGCTAAATAGTGGATTTTGCATAGGGCTTGTGATCGTTGTTGGAGGAGCAAGAGAAGCGGAATGAGGAGGGACAAAAAAACTCACAACACATAAACCACTGAGGTCAGCTCCCAGCCATGCAAGCTAGTGTATCCAACCATTCAGCGTCCTTCGGCCCCAGCCCGGAAGTCATCATCATCATCATCGTTACACGTTAGCTGGAGGTGGAAAACACCTCAGCTATTGTGCCGCAATACAAAAGGCAAGAAAAGAAGAAAAAACAAAACAACAACAACAAACAGTGGCACGCCCGCTGAGTCCCCAGTAACGGATGGACATCGTTCCGGAGAGCTAACAGCTGGCTGTCGTAAAAGAAAGTCATATTATGCCTAATGATTGAGATCGTGATTGGAGGGGGATGCTAAGCAGGAGGGGGATGGACAAAGGAACTCACAACACAAACGCCATTGGGGCCGGCTCCTAGCCATATCAGCAAGTGTGTCCAGCCAAACGTGTTCACCGTCCTTAGGACCCCAGCCAGGCAGTCGGGATGCACCAACCGACGCCAACTTCGAAGTGAGGGTTTTCATTTCACGCGACCAAGTCATCACTTGGCCTCCCCTCCTCCTCTTCCAACCGCACCCACAACGCGCAAACAATGCACGTCGTGGGAGTCGGTGTGCTGGCATGCGCAAGACGTGGCCCAGCCATCGGAGCCTGGTGCGTGATATAATCGTGCTGAGCGGTTCACTCGCTCTTCCTGCACCAAATACGCGACGTCGAACACGCTCATTGCTCACGCGGTGTTCCCACCAGACATGAGCTAAGCTGCGAAGGCAGCGATGATCGAACGTGACGAGTCTCTTCATGTCTGTCGACCTGATGGGCCAGGTTTCACAGCCATATAGGAGAGTTGAACGGACGGCTGCGTTGTAAACTCTGCCCTTGAGGGCGAGAGTAATGTCGCGTCTGCGCCACAGGTGGCGGAGATTGGCAAAAGCACCTCGAGCTTTTGCTATACGGTTCGTAACCTCATCTTCAATCCCACGGGTGCTAATATAGCTGCCCAGGTACTTGAATTCCTGAACGACTTCTAGCAGATCACCACCAAGCGTTAGCGCAGGATTGGGTCCCTGCCAATCTTGGAGAAGTACTTTGCATTTTGATGGAGCAAAGCATAGCCCAAAACGACTGACAGCCAGTGCTAATCGGTTCAGTGCTGTTTGGCATGTTTGGGAGCCGTCACAGATTAGGGCAATATCGTCTGCATACTCCAAGTCAAGAAGTCGCTCACCAGGAAGTAGCTCCACACCTTCTAGGTCGTGTCCAGCGAACGCTGTTTCCATGACTTCATCAATAGCGAAGTTGAAGAGGAAAGGTGACAGCGGGCATCCTTGTCTCACACCGCTGGTGATACTGAAGGGTGGCGAGAGTTTGCCATAAACCCTCACCCTGCCCGAACTATGTGCGTACAGCGCTTTGATAATGTTTACATATTTATCAGGCACACCTTTCCTCAACAGACAGTCCCAAAGGGCACATCGATCGACTGAGTCGAAGGCACCTTTTATGTCAAGAAACACGACAACGGTGGGTCGCCAATAAACATGGCGGTGCTCCAACACTTGACGCAATGTGAAGATGTGGTCGATGCAGCCCCGACCTCGACGAAATCCGGCTTGTTCTTCACGAATTTGGCTTTCACGAGTGCCAGTCAGTCTGTGGAGAATGAGAGAGGCAAGCAATTTAGAGGCAATCGAAATCAGACTGATCCCTCTATGATTACCACATACCAAACGGGAGCCTCCCTTGAAAATTGGGACAATGACGGAGCGGTTCCAGTCTGTCGGGACTGTCTCCTGCTCCCAAAGTTTTACTAGCAACTCGTGTAGATCACCTATTAGAGCAGGTCCACCGAACTTGAAGAGGGCTGGAGGAATAGTATCTGCCCCTGCGGCCTTATGCAATTTCAACAGCCTGATCTCACGTTCGACCTCTGCGCGTGAGGGCGGATCCAGGGAGACGGCCCAAGGAGAAGGGCGTTCAATGCCCGAAGAAAGTGATAACTCAGGTTGGTTAAATTGCATAGCAAAGTGTTCAGCCCAACGCTCCAAGCGTTTTGACAGGCTGTGGATCATCTGCCCACTCTCGTCGCGTATGGTCTCGCTAACACCAGGTCTCCTGCTGCCTGTTGCCCGTATCAGACGGTATAACTTACGATGATTACCAATGGCAGCGGCTGTTTCCATCTCAGATGCACGATGAGACCACCAGGTTTCGCGGTCCTTCTTTAGGCTAGCACGTAGTTTCGCCCTGAGATTATTGCGAGATTCATTGTATTCGCTTCCAGCCGGAATACGTCGGCGAGCATCCATAAGTTCCAGAGACTGTGTAGAGACCCAATGTCCGGTTTGGCAATTTGTTTTGCCACATGAAGACATGCCTGCTAATAGCAACGCTTGACGAGTGTGCGACCAGTGATCTTCAACGGTGTTTAGTGGGCGCTTACTCAGTCCAGATGTCAGCGCATCTTGGTACACATTCAGAACATCTGGCTTCGCCAGCTGGCTAGTGTCAATCCGTTCACATCGACGTTGCGGACGTTCACCGAAGCGCATCAGGAGGTCGGCACAGACAAGTGCGTGGTCAGAGTCCACGCTCGTGCTCCAAATCGAGCGACAGTTTTGGACACAGCCTCTCCAGCGGTAACTGATCGCGATATGATCGATTTGCGTTCATGACTGGCCCGAGGCTGGTGGCCGCCAAGTCACACTTCTGCGGGTGCTGTGTCGAAAATTAGTGCTCGCGAGAAACAGGCGAGCATCTTCACACAGCTGGAGCAATCGCTCACCATTATCATTACGGGAGCCTACACCATGTTGGCCGCCCAGATGAAGCTCATCAGAGGACAATTTTCCGACTTGGGCGTTTAGATCGCCAGCCAGCACCACAGTATCCGTGCTTCTTCTGTAACGAAGGAGCTCGTGAAGTTGCTGGTAGAAATCATCTTTTACCGAATCAGTGCTACAGTTTGTAGGGGCGTAGGCCGCAATGACAAACAGGCACCGTTTGTCCCCGCGCGACTTCGAAGCACGGAACGAACCAGCTAATCTAACGGCGCACATCCTACTGTTTACTGGGATCCAATCAAGTAGGGCAGCTTCAGCCCGGGGACTCAAAACAATGCCGACGCCGGCTTGACCGGCATTTGAAGCTGCATCATCGCCAGATAGGCGCAATGAGAATGTGCCGCCAGTGTCGCATGTGGGGGATCTCAGGGTAAGCACGGAGCTCGAATCTTGCAGGCGGGTTTCTGATAAACAGCAAATATCGATCGATAGGGTCTCTAGTGTGCGGGCAAGTGCTGCCTGTTGGCCAATCTGCAGCAAAGTGCGCACGTTGAGGCATGCCAATCTTAGCGAGACACGAGGACTCCAAAGGGAAACGGATGAACTGACGTTGTCCGCTTGGTTGAACATGGACTTATCGACTGGATTGGAGTGAGGCCCTGCGATTGTGTGTGATTTGAAATTAGAAGACAAGCGACTATTGAAGTAAGCTGGGGGAGGGCCAAGAATTGGGGGATTGAAAATGGGGGGGGATATAAGTAAAGTTGGAGCGGGACAATAAGGATGCAGAAGCGCAAGAAGGGGTATAAGAAGACGGGAAGGCCTGAGCAGTAGCATCCAAACCCCTATCCACCCTGCTCGATGCAGCAGATAGGGCGCCGTTTATTATCCTCTGCGACGGCCAGAGCATCAAGAAATTGTTGTAGGAAAGGTTCATTGTATTGCGTGGGCAGAATACTGTCAGGTTGCCCAGGCCTAGACAGGAGAACGATTAGGGTTCTCAACCAAAGCCTTTGGTTCAAAAACCTTACCGCAAGGCAGCGGGTTTTGGCACTGGACTACAGAGCCCGTTTTATGAAATGAGGAGCCACCCCCATTCCAACCCCCAACCTGGAGGACCAGGAGGCTGAGTTTGTCTGGCCTCTAACCATTGACCAATCTGGTATGAGTGGCTCTAAAGGTGCAAAACAAAGCACCACCCAGCATAGCTCAATGGATCTCTGAGGCACGCAAACCATCGCACCACGGTAAGGTCCAGCCTCATTGCGATGGCAGCCCGGAAGTCAGGAAATACCAACCGATGCCAAGCTCGAAGTGAGGGGATTTCATATTCCCCTTGACCAACTCATCGCTTGGTCATCCCCCATCTGCTTTCATACAGACCCCGGACGCGCAAACCACGCAAGACACGGGAGTCGGTGGGCTGGCATGCGCAACACATGGCCCAGCCATCGGAGCCTAATGCGTGACATAATGCTGCTGAGCGGTTCGGTCG